GCTTGGAATCGACGTCGTCCACAGGAGTTCTCGCTGGGTCAAGCACTCTCCTTCATATATGTTGCGTTACTTTGCATTCTTGGGATCGTGCAGTGCCAAGAACTGGCCGTCGCCGCTCTCCAGGTCGTGGTACAAATTCGTGGAGACGACGCTGGCGCACAACTCGTCGTAGCGCCCGTCCGCCGTCAGAACGACCATGCGCGCCTCGATCTCCTCGCAGCAATGCCGCTCAATCTCGTCCTTGAAATTCGCCTGCGCGTCTGCGTCTGGACGACGCTGGAGGCCTCGCACCGGCAACTGCAACAGCCGCGGCGCCGCCAGCTGCCTCAGCCGGGGCGAAGTTTCCGACGGGCTTCCGCAGCGCGACGTGGAACGTTCTCTGCAAGTGGTCCACGTAACGCCCAACCCACAGGCCCTCACAAGTTTCGTGCCCCCATAGGGAGCTCCCCCGAAGGCCGCAGTGGCAGAGTTCGCATGCGGCTCCCGGCCAATTTCGGCACACCCCTCATACGTTTCATGCCCCAAGAGGGAGCTTCGCCGAAAACGATATTCACAACTGCGATGCTCACAAGTGCGTATGATTGGGCCCTTCGCCAGGATACTTTACGTTGCACGGGCTCGAGCATACTAGTTCTCCTCTTCATTTTCATCTTCTTATTCGTCGTCCTCCTCCTCCTCTTCCTCCTCCTCCTCCTACCTCCTTCTCCTGCCTCCTTCTCGTGCATCCTCCTGCTCCTCCTTCCTCCACCCTCCTTCGTCTTCCTTCCTTATCATCCTCCTGCGGATTTCTCCTGTCTTGCCAATACTTATGCTACCTCCCTCAAGGTCCGCCTCCCTACTCCTCTCTTCTGCATCCCTCCAGCCCCTCCTCGTTCCTCCTCCTCCTCGCCCTTTCTCCTCCTACTTCTCCTCCCTCCTCCTCGTCCTATGTCCTCGTTGCTTTCCGCCGTCGTCGTCGTGGTTGTCGTCGTCGTTGTTGCATTCTCACTTCTAAAGGATAGTTATTGTTGATCCCCCCTCTGGTAACCATTCATTTTTTTTTCAATCCAAGTGCTTCTCCCAGGCTCAAAATGATTCCCAAATCGCGCTCTCGCGCGGGAATGCCTCACAATTAACAGGAATCGCGCTTTCGCGTGGGACTTCCTTAGAAGTTGCTCATAAACGCCGTGCCCTCGACACTCGGGAATCACGCTCTCGATGTGGCTTTCCTGACGATTTATTTGGGAATCGCGCTATCGCTCGCGACTTCCTCACCATTCATGCAGGACGCACGCTTCAGCAATCCGCCTGCCCTTTGTCCCTTCCTTCCATCCGTCCTCTCTTCGAGAGAGCGCGCCCACAGCGCCAGAGCAAAGGGGGGGTCCCCCCTTAGCTAGCCCCCCCCTCCCTTCCACCTCCCCTGCTGGAAGCTCCCCCTCCCCTCCCCCCCTTTTTCGCCTCCCCCCTGAAGCTGCCGCCCCCCCCCCCCCCCCTTCGCCACTCCGAAGCTCCCCGCCCCCCTGCCCCCCTTTCCAAAGGGAAGGGGGGCTTAGCTACCTCCATCCCTCCCCTTGACCCCCCTCTGCTGGAAGCTACCCCCCTCTCCCCTCCTTTGGTTCCACGGGGGGGGGGCTTAGCAGCCCCCCCCCCCCTCCCTCCGTTTCGGCACCCCGGAAGCTCCCCCCTCCCCCCCTACGAAAGGGGGAGGGAGCTTGGCTACCCCCCCCCTCTTTGACCCCACTGCCAGAAGCCCCCCCCCTTCCCTCCATTTTTCTCCCCCCTGCTGGAAGGTCCCCTCCCCCCCCTGTCCAAAAGGGGAGGGGCGGCTTAGTTACCACCCCTTTCCCTTGAACTCCCCCTGCCCGACGATCCTCCCCCGTCGCCGTCGTCGTTGCCGTCGCCGTCGCTCGACGTCTTCGTACGACGCCATCTTCGTCCTCGTCGTCGTCGTCGCCGCCGCCGTCGCCGTCATTGTCGCCGTCTTCGTATGACCTCGTCGTGGTCGTCACGACAAGGACGAGGTCATACGAAGACGGCGACGGACGACGGACGACGCACGACCGACGACGATGACGACCCAGGGTCAGAGAAAACGAGACAACGACCCAGGGGCTGAGAAAACGAGGAAACGAAGCAGGGTCCGAGAAAACCAGGGGCCGAGAAAACGAGAAAACGAGACAACAAACCAGGGTCCGAAAAATAAACGACCCAGGGGCCGACAAAACGAGACCACGACCCAGGGGCAGAGAAAACGCGAAAACGAACCATGGTCCGAGAAAACGAGGCCACGACCCAGGGTCCGAGAAAACAAGACAAGGAGAAAACACACCAGTGCCCAAGACTACGGAACCACGACCCAAGGGCCGAGAAAACGAGACAACGAGAAAACGAACCAGGGCCCGAGAAAACGAGAACACGACCCAAGGGCAGAGAAAACGAGAAAACTAACCAGGGTCGGAGAAAACGAGACCACGACCCAGGCCGAGAAAACGCGAAGATCGGTCTGAGAAAACGAGACAACGACCCAGGGGCCGAGAAAACGAGAAAACGAGAAAACGAACCAGGGTCCGAGAAAACAAAACTACGATCCAGGCGCAGAGAAACATAGAAAGCGAGAAAACAAACCAGCGTCAGAGGAAACGAGGCCACGACCCAGGGGCCGAGAAAACGAGAAAGCGAGAGAACGACCCAGGGGCAGAGAAAACTGGACCACAATCCAAGGGCAGAGAAAAAAACAAGAAACGAGAACACGAACAAGGGTCAGCGAAAACGAGACCACGACCCAGGGGCAGAGAAAACGAGAAAACGAGAAAACGACCCAGGGACAGAGAAAACGAGACCACGACCCAGGGGCCGAAAAAACGAGAAAACGAGATAACGAAACGGAGTCCGAGAAAACGAGACCACGACCAAGGGGCAGAGAAAACGCGAAAGCGAGAAAACAAACAAAGGTCAGCGAGAGAACTGAACCACGACCCAGGGGCCGAGAAAACAAGAAAACGAGAAAACGAACCAGGGCCCGAGAAAACGAGAGCACGACCTAGGGGATCATAAAACGAGAAAACGAGAAAACAAACCAAAGTCAGAGAAAACGAAACCACAATCCAGGGGCCGAGACATGGAGAACACGAGAAACCGAACCAGTGCCCGAGAAAACGAAACAAAAACCCAGAGGCCGAGAAAACGAGAAAACGAAACAACGAACCGGGGCTCGAGAAACCGAGATCACGACCCAGGGGCCGAGAAAACCAGAAAGCGAGACCACGAACCAAGGTCCGAGAAAACGAGACTACGAACCAGCGTCCGAGAAAACAAAACCACGACCCGGGGGCCGAGAAAATGAGAAAACGAACCAGGGTCAGAGAAAACAAAACCACAACCCAGGAGCCGAGAAACAGAGAACACGAGAAACCGAACCAGGGTCCGAGAAAACGAGGACACGATCCAGAGGCCGAGAAAACAAACAATGAACCAGGGTCCGAGAAAACGAGACCACGACCCAGGGGAACATGAGAAAACTGACTAGGGTCCGAGGAAAAATGAGACCACGACCCAGGGGCCGAGAAAAAGAGAAAGCGAGACCACGAACCAGGGCCCGAGAAAACGACACAACAACCCAGAAGCCGAGAAAACGAGAAAACGAGACAACGAACCAGGGTCCGAGAAAACAAGACCACGACCGCCGCGAGAAAAGGCGACCACGACCCAAGGGCCGAGGAAACGAGAAAACGCGAAAAGGACCCACGACCCAGGGGCCGAGAGAACGAGAAAACGAACTAGGGTCCGACGAAACCACGACCCAAGGGCCGAGATCACCAGAAAACGCTTGGCTCGAGAAAACGAGACCGCGACCCAGGAGCCGAGAAAACCAGAAAATCGAGAAAACGACGCAGGGGCAGAGAAAACGAGACCACCACCCGGGGGCCGAGACAAAGAGAAAACAAGAATACTAACCAGCGTCCGAGAAAACAAAACCACGACCCAGGGGCCGAGAAAACGAGAAAACGACCCAGGGGCCGAGAAAACGAGAAAACGAACCAGGGGCCGAGAAAACGAGAAAACGATAAAAGGAAGAGACAACGGACCAGGGGCCAAGAAAACAAGAAAACAAGAAAACGAACCAGGGGTCGACATTATTCTCCAATGCGTTCTCTAGCGCTGCGGTGCGCACCTGTCTGCAGGGGTTCAGCCATTTTGCCATCACCCAGAGGGAGGGGGGGGGTTCGCTTCGGAAGCCCCCCCCCTTTGCATAGGAGGGTGGAGAGGGGTAGCTTGACACAGCCCCTCCTGTGTCCAGACCAAAAAAGGAAGGAGGGGGGGGGGAGCTTCCGAAGCCCCCCTCTTTGAAAAGAAAGCCCGGGCTCACCCTCTGCTCCGGAAAAGGGAGGGAGGAGGGGGATAGCTTCGAAGCCCCCCCCCCTTTAGCCAGGGTCCCCCTAGCCCCTTACAGAAGGGAGGGGGGGTGGGGTAGCTTCGGAAGCTCCCCCCCTTTTGGAAAGGAGTAGGGGGGTTAGCGTGAAGCTGGGGCCCCCATTTCTCTTCCCATGCCTTAAGGGGCTGCACGAAATACACGTGCATGTAAAAACGATATACCCGTAAGGGGGTACGATCGAAGACGAAGAGGGCGAATATCGAGGGTTTAGGACACATGTATCGCATGCCACGCGAACAGACAAGAACGAGCAGTCTCAAACTGATTGTTGCCGCTGCTGCTGCTGCTGTTGTTGTTATCACTGTTGTTGTTATTGTTGTTGTTGTTGTTCCAGTTGTTGTTGTTGTCGCTGCTGCTGTCGTTATCGTCTTTAGCGTCGTCGTCCTTCGTCTTTCGTTGTCGTCGTCGTCTTCCTCTTCAAGAGGGGCCTCGGCTTCCTTGCCAGCTCATGGGCCATGCTCGAGCCTCAAATGGCCCTTTGGGGCCACTTCTGTCTCCCAGAAGAAGCCGCCAATGCGGCGTAGCTTGTGGAACGCACCCGGGCCCTGAGAAGCTCCGAAGATGTCGTCGTCCCTAAGGGGGGGGGGTCCTGGGCTTTCTCCAGCTTCTTCGTCAGGTTCTCCGCCTCCTCCCTCTGTTGCGCCGACAGGATGAGCTTCCGTATCTCCGCGCCGGGCGACCGACGACGACCACCTCTCGAGGAGGTGGTTTGCGGAGGTGTCCCGCATGTTCTCAGAGCGCATCCATGGTTCCAATGCCTTTGTCTCCAGACATGTCTATGGGCTCCCTCTTTAGTGCCTTTGTCTCCAAATGTGTCTATGGGCTCCCTCTCGTTCCACCTGCACTCCAGCTCCCGCTCCCGCTTCTTCCATGATTTCTGTACTGCGCATTCGTTGGGGCAACGCTCCCATACCCTTTCGCATGAGACGCCAACACGATGCCGACTAACAACTGCATCGACGCACTTCCACTGTCCGGCTTGATCGTCTACAGTGGACACTTAAGATTAGGCATCGTGCCATGAAACATGTTGGGGCATATTCTCCGTGGATCTCTGATGACCCTAGGGTGCGCCAAATTTCTGTGTGTCCCAGAGGCCATCGGGGGATAAGACATTTCCACGGGGCACCTGTTGACAGGCCGATTGATGAATCATGTGCTTCCTGTAGCGGCCCTTCCCCCGGGCGGGTAGCCCAGCGACCCCCCCCCCCCCGCCACCGTCGGGGGGAGGGGTTCCTAGATTCCCAGCCGATTGGCATGGGGACCCCAGAGCGCTCGTTCGACCGCGGCGCCTTCGGCGGGAGGGATCAGGCTGAGCAGCGCCAGATGCTGATGAGGGGGAGGATGAAGAGAAAGAGGAGCCCTCAGAAGTCGGCGTTCTGCTCCGCCGCTCCTTACCGTAGGGCAGAGGAGGGTAAGGATGAACAGGAGGAGGAGAAGGAGGAGGAGGAGAAGGAGGAGGAAGAGGACGATGGGGGAAGAGGGGGACCAGAGTACATGCAGGATGCGTCAACGATACTGCAGTACGACCTCTTGTCCCCAACTCGCTCTTCATGTGGGTAGCTCCCCCCCTTGAATGACGAGCGCTGGTTGGATCTGCCACTCAGGCGAGACTTTTGATGGATCCACCCTACATCTTCCGAGCTAAAAACGCAAAGGGGGAGGATGGCACAAATCCAAGAACGGTCCAACGATAGCCACGTTTTGAAAAGGATGCGCCCTCCATCCGGGAAAGTGTTGCGCGCAACTTCCAAAGCCTGGTCGTCGTTGCTGAAATGCCAAACAAATAAAACCGCAGGTTGGAACAAAGGGGCATCCATCCTTGCACCTGTTGGGCACTGTGTAAAACGGATGTGCACGGCGCTGAAGCGAGAACCGCAATTTGAAAATCACTCGTCGCAGCACGAACGCGAGAGCTTTCATACAAAAACCCAGTCCCTCCATCGTTGGGGCTGTTGGAATTTTGCCGTCAGGATTTGCCAGTGCCCCGAGGCACGAAGCGGAGTGTCCTCGGGTTCCTGAAAATCATCTGTAATCCGCCGACCCAGTCGGCGTGTGTGGGGTGTCTATCCAATCCCGTCGACGGGGGAGCCTTCTGTCGTCCCCTCCTTCCCATCCTCCTCTCGCGTCGGGGGAGAAAGAGAGAGAGAGAAAGAGAGAGAGAGAAAAAGAGCGTCCATCCTCGTTGGAGGAACAGGTTCGCAGCTTGAGGGAATTCCATCCGCGTCCTCATTACGTCAATAGGAACCCCCTTCCCTTTGTCCCTTCCGCGTCGGGGGGGGCGGTCCGGGGGGGGTCAGATTCGCATCGCCTTTGGGGGTCCTCCTCTCTCACGCCACTTCTTCTCCGGCGCGCCAATCCTTTTCGGGTCCTCTTCCCCAGGTGGGGAAGAGTCCAACGGGGGGGGGAGGGGAGTCAGATACGCATCCGTCCCTGGGGGTCCTCCTCCCCCTCCCAACCCCTCTCCCGCGCCGGTCCTCCTCCCCAAGGGGGGGAAGGTCCCAGGGGAGGGGGTCCTTTTCCTCCTCCTTCTCCTCCTCCTCCTCCTCCTCCTCCTCCTTATCTCCGCCTCCTCCTCCTCCTCCTCCTTCTCCCCCTCCTCCCCCTCCTGGTCGTCGTCGATGTCTTTCAGGGTCGGCGGCGCTGGCCGTCAGGCCTTCGCAATATTGCAATGCTTTACAAAAATGCCCACCGCCCAGAATTCTGGGCGTTCCCGGAGTCATTCGCGTGTCCCCCGCATGATGTTTCCAGAAACAAAAAGGCCCCCTGACAGGCCAAGAGGGCCTCAAGAGGCCCCGTTGACGGCCCAAGAGCACTCCGATTCGCCTGCAAGACGGCCTAGGAGGCCCTCAAGACGCCCTTGGAGGTATCCAGGAGGCCCCCCAGAGGTCCCAATTATTGTTTTGCCATCTGCTTTTGAATGATTTTAGCGTTCTCGCCTCTTCGAGCTTCCGACGCTCCAATACAGCCCGAGAGGCCCACGATATCGCCCCAAGGCAACCTGAGAGGCCCCCAAGAGGGCTCCCAGAAGGCCAAGAGGCCCCCTCGGGATCGCCCCAAGACAGCCCGAGAGGCCCCGGGTGCTTCGCCCGCTGCTCTGCACCACGCCGCCGCCAGCACACCGTCACTGTATTCTTTTCTCACAGCTTCGTTTTTCTGTTGCGACGCGCGCGCTGAGCGGTCGTGGCGCCGCGCGGCGGCGACCAACGGCTCGAGAGGCGGTACCCGGCTCAGGTAAGTGCACCTGATTGGAAGGGGGATGGCCCGCCAAACACAACCCGCCACGGCCCACTTCTGCTGCTGTTTCAGTCCACCTCAGAGAGCAGGCGCCGGCCCACTATTCTTCGCACGTGGCGAAGACTACGAATCGCCACTCAGGGATAGGAGGGGTCCTGGGTGGATGGTTGAAGGCTCGGGTGTGTGGGGGGGGAGAAGCACTTGAACCGCCAGCAGAGTCAAGACTATGTACAGCTGGATTCACGACTCTGCATGCTGCTGCCAATTTTTAGGGCATGCAATTCCTCCTACGTGTCTGGGCTGTGCTCGAGCACCGCTCCCCTCTACAGGCTGTCGACATGCCTTTTACTCTCACCCTTCTACCCTTTTATAACCTGTCATTTCCCCACTCGGCTGCCGACACTACCACACGGCATTTCAAGGAACCAGCCACATATTATCACACTGCACTTTCGCTGCCCCAGGATACCTACAGTGCTCTCTTCACAGATCGCGCTCATCCTTCACACGCCAATTCCAAATCTTTTGTCGCAGTGCCCCATGGGATGAAACACTCAACCTCGGCAGTGCATTCTTTGCCGTGCAATCATACTGCCCTATGCTCTATGCCATCGCATTTACAATCATATACCAGTTCGACCACCCAGTTAAGGCCAGCCTCAGCCTACATAATCATTACAAATCAGCCAACACAGACTGAACCAGCCTGGTCAGCAGCCCCAACTTCAATTCTTGCAAGGAGCATCGCGCCCGCCCCATTTCCAACCCAAACAAGCCATACTGCGCCACCCTCGCAGACACTAGGGAGGGTGGGGGGTACTGATGGATGGTGTCAGGGGGAGCATCACTGACAACGTATGGCCATGTTGGCCTTCGGCGGAGGGGCGTCAGCCCTACTGTAGGCCGCCGTACGTTGGCTACACCTCCCTCACCTCACACATTGTCTTGCACTTCCAAGCCTCCATACCATCGTGCGTACGTATCAGGTGTTCCACTTTAATGTCTCTCCCTCTATGCCCTGTATGTTTTATCAGCTACCAGGTGGGCCAGACAGTCGTGGCCAGCCTCAAATTACATTATCATGTTTGACCTACCTTGCTTCACCTCAGCCTGTCTCGCTTTCAAGCGATCACCTGTTAAGCTTGCTGCGCGCTTACTTTCAGGACTGCTCCACTTTCAACTCAGAGGACATCCATCGTACCGCGCCAGCATTGCAGGCGTGAGAAGGGAGGGGTTCTAATATTAGTTGGTGGGAAGGAGGGAAACAACACTGGGCCTGCGCCTGTCTCAGCTCTTGTACAGCTGCCTTACTTACAATGGGGTACATTGCCGAGCAACCAGCAGGCCCACTTTGTACAGCGTTACCCGCTTGCACGTGTAGTTCGGTCTCTCTTGTAGGGTATCGCCCACTCGTATGGTATGATGATTTGTTCGGTATTGGTTATGTGTTCCTACTCTCCCTCGCTGGCTGCTCGCTTACTTCGCGCCCTCTCGGGCACCTCGCCTCTTTTCAATTCTCTTAGATTCACGTTTTACTGCGCTGGCTTGCAACCTCAGGCTGATGCCTCTCGCGTCCCAATCGGAATATATGTGACAGGCTTTTTTTCACCGTCAGAGGTCTTCAATTTAAGCCACTTGAAGTTCCCCGAACGTCAGAAAAAGGAGGATGGATGAGGGCGATGGGGGAGGAGAAAGAGGAGAAAGAGGAGGAGGCGGCGGAGGAGGAGGAGGAGGAGGAAAAGGAGGATGAGGAGGGAGGAGGCAGGAGGGAGGAGGAAGGAGGGCTGAGGTATGAGAGAGCAAGATAACGATGAGGACGAGGGTGCCAGGACGAGGAGGGGGAGGGGGGGTGGGGAGGGGGGGGGGGGGGGAGGAGGAGGAGGAGGAGGAGGAGGAGGAGGGAGGAGGAGGAGGAGGAGGAGGAGGAGGAGGAGGAGGAGGAGGGGGGAGAGAAGGGAGAGGAGGAGGAGGAGAGGAGGAGGAGGGGGAGGGGGGGGGAGGGAGGAGGGGGGAGGAGGCGGAGTGACTGAGACCAGAATGCCACGACTGAGTGAGGAAGCCCTACCGTCTGTCACGAGTGAGTGAGTGAGGAGGAGGAGGAGGAGGAGGAGGAGGAGGAGGAGGGGGAGGAGGGAGGAGGATGAGGGGAGGGGGGGGGGGGAGGGGGGGGGAGGACGAAGAGAAGGGACGGGATGCGGAGGGGGAGGAGGAGGAGGAGCACGAGGACGGACACTACTAGTAATACGAGTATTGGTACCACTAACAATAACATTGACCGTGCAAAGAAACATGTAATCCAACCACGACGAATGCTACTACCCATGATAACGACGCTCATAATAATTTCACGAATGCTAAATATTACTACTAAACGGAATACCACAACGGAGTCGAATAACACGAATAATGGTACATATGGTGTCAATC